GAAATTCCATCAGAAACATCAAAGGGGTTCAAGATATATCAAATATACCGTATGTATCTCGAGTTTTTCCACTCACGATGGTTAAAAATCACTATTGCAGCCATAGAAATTCGCATTACGACATTAAGCCATCTGCATCTATTTCACTGACAGTTTTATTTTTCCCCACACACTTTGAACGCATCATAAACTCCTCCTCCAAACAGCATTATTTTCTGCTTTAATGCAGTAAATGGGTCATATAGTGACACTTATAAGTATTATGTTCTCACCTCAAATGATCTTAAAACTAGGGATGCTCGTTATAATCGGCCCCCTATCGGTATCGGCCTTAAAACTGAATATTGGACATCGGCCACCCCAGCGATATTTAACCCGATATTTGATCAGCTTCTGAGTTTCTAAAGTCTAAAAAAAACCAAAAAAACTACTTCTTCCTCAAAAAATTTTTTACAGACTTAAAAACTTCTAAAGACGAGGAAAAAAATATTGATACATTAAAATATCACAATATCTTCTGATATATTGCCATTTAAAAACACCATATCAATCTCTTTTACTAATGAAATATTGCTATATGTCATCGTTATGCTACCAAATCCCCCGAAAATTCACGAAATGTTGCCATATTTTCATATGTTGATACATTGAAAATCTCACAAGAATTTGCAAAATATCACGAGAGTTTGTAACAGAACGATGAAATTTCACGAGATTTTGAAAGTAAAATACATCGATACCGCGTTTTTAAAAATCAATTTGATATCAGCATATGAAAATATATTTGAGTATATTATTTTTCAAAGTGTCAGAAATGGATAACAAAACTGCTATTTTCAATGACTACTTATTTTTGTCCAGCTTTAACATCAGTATCGATATCGGTTATCGGCTACATGAGTTTTAAAATATCGGCATATCGGATATCGGCCAAAATCCCAATATTGTGCATCCCTACTTAAAATGTTTATTGAACAACAGCTACAGAAAAGAGAACTTTTAACTTAATACTCTGAGCTCTGCGAGTTAAGAGGATGGGCCGCCAACCAATGGGCGACCCTCTAAAACACAGCCCTTCCTCATTTGCATAATGCATTGAAGAAGTAAACAAATACGAAGGATGAATCAAACAGACAAAAATATTACAAAATGCACGTAAATAAATACTTTAAAAAATAAGTAATTAATAAATAAAGTTGAAGATTATAACAGACAATAAATAAATAAGGTAATTATTACAAAGGTGAATAAATAAAGAAGCTAATTAAGATATATACATTTATGTCTCACTGTATAATTTAATTTTACCTACATTTATTTGTTTGTTATAATTTTGGGGGGAATTAATTGTATGCTTATTTATTTATAGAGAATATATTTATTTCAGTTGTTATGTGCCCCAGGCACATTATGATTTTTGTCCATTTCTTTTCTTCGTTTGCTTATAAACTTTAGTTGAAGGATCCTTTTGTTAATATATTTTAGGATTTTTTTAGTAAATCAATTATGTTAATTTGTGGTGCTGTCGTCCGCCTATAAATAGGCTGGCCTTCAGCACGTTAGCGCGTTCCTTGCGCGTTCCTTTCCAACCTCGTTTGGACGCCACTTCCCACCTGCTTCATTTGCTCCATCGTGCGCGGTGCGCACTTGTCTTGTCGCTGCGGCCTGCAGCGGACGTTCCAGCCTGCCATGTGGTATTTTTGTTACCTTTTTCTTACTTTTTTCTTGAGGTTTTTGGCCTGGCGGGACCGGTAGTCCTGTTTTCGATTTTTCTTTCGCTTAGGTTATTTTTTGCCTTTAGTCCGGTACCAGTAGGGGCTTCGACGGCCCTGTATAGGGTTGGCCCCCTCCTGTACCGTTTTATTCTGTTTGATCGGCCTGCCAGGTCCAACTTTCTGTTGTTACTTTGGGTTTCTTTTTTTATTTTTTTTGGGGCACGGGATTTGAGGGCCGTTAACTATTTTTCTCTTCGCAGAACATCTGAAGAAGCCGAACCAAGAACAACTAAAACGGAGAGAATTTATTAATAAAACATCTTTTTTTGAACCCTCATTTTTGTCTCGTGTCCTCAAATATGTTGTGTCCTTGGTGGGCGTAACATCAGTATTTATTTTTAAATATGGTAGAGCCCGTCCTCCATACACTGCAGCGACCAGGAAACAAAAAATGGCGACAGCAGGTGTTTCATTAAATGGTAAATGGCATGTACTTATATAGCGCCGTATATCCAGTAGAGCGATATATACGGCAGCGGTTTGGATTTCACGCTGAGGACGTCCAACAAAATGCGCTAATTTGTAAGACCAAAAACCATTGCTGCACAAGGTAGCAGTACAAATGAGGGAATATTGTAAACCCTGCATGTCAGCGTCTCGCTGCTCAACAATTAAAAATGTTCTATAAATCAGCTGTGAGGAAGATGACGTTGAAAAAGTTATCCCATATGAGAGAAACAGGAAGAGATGCAGGGAAATCACAGACGCTATTCATGACGTTATTTCAATGTTTTTTTAGATGCTCTACCTGTGATGTGATGTTCAGAGGTTTTACAGGCGTTGTCTAAACTTGGCATCTCTAATCTAATTTTACAACTTTTTGTGCTTCTTTAAAATTCCCAGCACATAAAGTTCAGTGCTAATAGTTTGGAGATGGGGAGACTTGCACTGTAGTCGACCAAAATCCCGGACGATTTTGAAATTCCCCCCGGACACTATTTTAGGTATGAAAAGTAGGACATGTAGGACAAAAAGAGGACGTCTGGTAACCCTACCATATCAACAATCTCGATGTTTCAGTGAGTGAGTGCTTGTTGCTATGATGCGTCTTTGCTAAGCGGATTTGCTCGTTGTAAACCAACCAATCAGCGCACAGCTCATCTAAATATTGATGAGCATACCATAAAAGGAAGGAAACCTGTCGTTTCATTCTAGGGCTTTTGACCAGCCTTCATTAGGGCTCATAGAACAGCAAATATGCCATTTTCAGCCCAACTAATGTTACACACCCTATTCAGAGACCTTGAGGACCAAATACCCAATAGAATCATTCTAAAGACCCCTTTAAATATATGCAAACAAAGCTGTTTGCTCTAATAAACTTTTTCATAAGAAAATATTTTTGGTTTTGTAAATCTTGTAAGTTGCTGACTAACTGTTAACCAACCATTCTGCTTCATTCTATCTCTATTCTCCCACTCTGCAGAATCTGTTAGTTCAATCACTAACGTTCTGCTCTCTCTGCTTTTTCTCATAGTAGCTTCATCTGGTCTGTTCCTGTTTGGCTGTGACTCCATCCTGGAGAGAAATATCAGCTGCGCTGCTGCCATCAACACCCAAAGACATAATGTGGCAGAAAAGCTTTGAGCTGGTTAAAACAAAATTAAAGGGACACTATGCAACATTTTTCAGTTAATTAATGTGTTCCATAACGTTTTGGATGATTAAATGAGTCATTTCAGGTTGAACAAAGGTATTCTCGGCCGCCCTGGTGGTCTGTGGGGGAAATACTGCACTTGCAACTGCAGGAGCACCGACCCGGACCCACAGGCTCAGAAGTCTCGTGAGAGTCAGTCATGCTTTACGGCGAGAACTGCTACACGCCCCCAGTTAAAAGCATTCTCGTTGCTAGCACAGTGGCGATCTTTGTGCAGTTATGCTACGTTCAAGCAGCAAAAGCAGCAAAATCGCGTCTGCTGCTTCCTTTTTGCTGCTTGTACCAGTTAGTTCTGACGCGTGGCTGAAGCAGCTTTGCTGCTCCGGCTGTGTCTGAGGCGCGTTGGGCGGAGCTTCACTATCCTTTCTCTGCCTTGCAGCTATATTTGCTGTGATCAGTGGGAATAAAGTAGTTTTAATATGTGTTTAAGTGAGAAAATACACCTGAAAACGTAATCAGCGCCGTCAGTTCATTCAGATTATTATCCTGCCTTCAATATTTTTTCTGTCGGAGCCGCTCAGACCCCCACATACCAGCGGGGCGCCAACAGTATGGATCCCTTCATCAGCAGCGGTTCACCGCGGCAGCTGGTAGGTGTTTTTCATTTAAATAATCCAAGCTGTATATTTTGCCGGCAGATTTCTGCATTTTAAGTTAATTTAGGCGTCAATAAACTGTTTAAGAGGAGTGATCATCAGCGCTGTCTCTCTCTCCCTGCGTTAAACGCACCCGACGTGCTGCTTCAGCTGCTCAGACGTGCTGCGCCTGGTGCTCAAAACGCGCCGCGGGACCTTTTGTTGCGCCTTGACGCGCGTCAACCATTGACTTTGCATGTAAACTCGCTGCTTCTGTCGCGCCAGCTACGTCCAGTGTGAACGCAGCGTTAGTCATTCGCTGCTAAGCTCAAAACAACCGCGCCTGGCTTGACGGAGAAACCAGGAGAACAGCTGTGCATATTTACGACAGTGCACTTTTACTTTCGCCCTCTGGAGGGAGCCTCACTGGAAAATCAACACCGGTTGCATAGTGTACCTTTAAATGAAATTTGAAACCCAAAGTTTGTATGAGTATATCAGTGCAATTTCATACACTCCATTTTTTTTTATTGTAATTTAAACATATCGTGATATATATCGTGCACCACAATAGAGCCCAAATATATTGTGATGAGTGTTGCGCCGATGCCATTTTTTGGCCCAGTGTGTGTATATATGAAGAACTGCATACTACTAGGATGTAAAATAATTGCCATCATGGCTTTGTCAAGCTGCTGCCTACCTTTGTGAAGCAGGAAGTGAATCCAGTGGAACTTTTTATTGCCTACCTGGAATGGGTGACAATACTTGAATAAAGTTTTGGCTCCCAAAATGTTATCGCTGCCCTATTTGTTGGTACTCGCCGATACCGATACCACTCTTTTAGTGCTGGATCGGGGTCCTGCCCAATACTGGTATCGGTACTGGTGCAACACTAATGGTGAAATTAGATTTTCTTCATGTCGCCCGGCCCTAAAACATCATAGTTCACTCCCTGACAGAGTAGATGGTGAAACAATGACACCAGCTCACCTTTAATGTTGTTGAGATGCTCCTTAAGATGGCCGAAGCTGTTCAGTAACGGGTCCTGTTCTTCATCCTGACCAAAGAAAGCAGGAAGAGCGTTTTAGGGCACGGCACCGTTCTGCTGTTCTGCCGAAGCGTTGGACTACAACCTACCAGCGACGTGTGGTTATTCCATCGGGAGTTTCTCTTAATGGCTCCAACAACCGTGGTTATTTCTCCTTGGACAATGTAGATGTTTTTGTCGACCATGCTGCTTCTCTAAGAGAGAAGAAGAAAACAAAGGAATTGTGTTTAGGCTTTGAACAAATGGCTTTAAATCAGCTTTTCTGCATTCTGACCAATAGATCCTGATTAATGTTTCGTTCCTTGAAAATAGAATTTAAAAAGATATTAATAAACTCTGCTCTATGAGGAAATGTGATATGAATGAATATAAATAATGTAAATGCCAAAGAGCAGCTAGAGATCAGTATAAGGTCCGAAATAAAAGCCATAATCAAAACATTAATTCTGCATCTGTAAGGATATCCCATGCACCTTTCTTTTTTTTTTGACACATTCCTCATTCATTGTTCTTTGAGTATTTGAGCTGATTGTTCCTTATGTTCCTAACAGAGCACTTCACTCTCAATCTACAGGTTTACTAGTGGTTCCTAGAATTTCTAAAAGTAGAATGGGAGGCAGATCTTTTAGTTATCAGGCTCCTCTCCTGTGGAACCAACTACCAGTTTTAGTCCGTGAGGCAGACACTCTGTCTACTTTTAAGGCTAGGCTTAAAACTTTCCTTTTTGATAAAGCTTATAGTTAGAGTGGCTCAGGTTATCCTGAGCTATCTCTATAGTTATGCTGCTATAGGTTTAGACTGCTGGAGGACATAAGGACCCGCATTTCATCATTCCATCTGCTTCATTCTATCTCTATTCTCCCACTCTGCAGAATCTATTAGTTCAATCTCTAACGTTCTGCTCTCTCTGCTTTTTCTCATAGTAGCTTCATCTGGTCTGTTCCTGTTTGGCTGTGACTCCATCCTGGAGAGAAACATCAGCTGTGCTGCTGCCATCAACACCTTTCTTTATAGATGTTGGAGATCGGCCTGTTTTCCAGTGTAGTCCTGTTTCTCTGACTGTGACTAACTGGATGTGCTCTCTTCATCCTCTGACATGGGAGCTGGCTCGGTGCTCGTGTGTCTGGCTGTGTGTTTCCTGGATGGGGCCGCCTTTTCCAGCTGCTTTTGTATGTCTGCTTCTGTCACCTTGAACCCCAGTCAGCTTCAGCTGATGGCTGCTCACACTGAGCCTGGTTCTGCTGGAGTTTTCTTCCTGTTAAAAGGGAGTTTTTCCTCTCCACTGTCGCTACAAGCATGCTTAGTGTGAGGGATTGCATTCAAGTCAATGAGTCGATGCAATCAACTGGTTTTCCTTAAATAGAAAATTTCGAATCAGTCTGACTGGATCATCTGAATTGAAATTGAATTAAATTTCTCCACTGTGAGATCAACAAAGTCAATCAACCTCTTCAACTTAAACATTTGCTAGAACAGACTGAATAGATCCGCCTCTATGAAATGGACTCATCATCAGACACTGATGCTGGATTTGCCAATCTTTTACAAAAGTCCCATCATGCAGAAGAAGATGACTTAAAGTCCTCCTTTAATTATAAAAGAAAAAAAACAACAAAATAAATAATCAACATAACTAAATATAAAAACTTATACCCAAATGGAGTTTAACTCCCTCTTTCACAGATGAAGCAAAGATTTAGAAATCAAAGGCTGCAGGATTAGCAGGACGCTACAGACCGAGTGCAGTGAGGAGTTTCCAGTCAGTGATGATGAGCAGCGCCGTGTTTACTGAGGTCCACTGTGGGGCTGAAACAATTCATCCATTAACTAATTTAGTTATTGATTGATCGTTAACTGGAGAATAGACTCTAAAACAAGCCATCTGACAGAGAAATAGTAATAATATCAAGAATAATCTAAATATTGTCTTGAACTAAGAACCTCTGGATTCCAAGCTTTATGCCCGAACCAGTAGGCCGCCACTCCCCAACTACCACCCTGGAAGAGAAATTAACCCAAAACTGAAAATAAAACAAAACCTTTTAAAGGTGATTATGTAAAGCCATGTCTGTGTGTAAATATGCTCCATGCTGAAGTCCTCTAGTGGCCTTTATGCACATCAACCTGAGTTTGTTTCACAAATTCAGGATAGGTTTCAAACGTTCAGCAAGGTTTTGGTCAGATTAGCGGACCGCGGTCCGGATCCAGACCATCTGCTGACTAATCCAGACCCAACCTGATTTAAAACATTTATAAATGACTGCATGTTGTCTGACAACAGTGTCTAACTTCACTGGCGCTGCTTCTCCTGTTAATACGGTAAAGCCCTCCAGAGCGTCCGGCTCCAGGCTACATGTGATATAAATGATCCAATGAGCTGCTGTCAGTCTGGGTTGTTGCTGCTGCTACTTTTAGACACAGCAGGCAAACCTGTGGCAAGCCGGGCGATGGGAAAGAAGGAGAAGATGATGAGAAAGAGAGAGCAGAGAAAGTGTGGACTGCGGACTTTTACTAGTTGATGATTTTCTTTATTTGGACCATGCTGATTTTTAATTAGTTATTCCTGGTTTTGATCGATTACAAACCATTATATCTATGACATAATCCAGCCTCTCAGGCATTACAGACATGCTGATTTTATTGTAGGACTTGACATCTTATCTCCACAGCTGCTTCCATAATCATGGTGTCCCTCAGCAAACAGTTCAGACCTGAAGCCCGTAGCGAATCCAATGGGTCCCGTGAAGAACGGACAGGACACCCGACCCAAACAGCAGATGCCCTGCTTTCATTAAAGGAGAATTCCGGTTTTTAACACTTTTAGCCCATTTTCTGTAGTGTCCAGGATGAAATCGAATGATCGACACCAAAATTTTGACAATTGGTCCTGTCTCTGCTATTTGGCTCATTTAGAATCCACCCCTGGCTGCTTCAGAATGGCTTCCATAGTGCATGTCCGATAATGTCCTTAAAACAACCTTAAACGTTCTTTTTTTTTAAATATGCTACTCACCGGGTCGTCAGCGCTTTTCAATGACGTTCCAAAAAAGTTTCGTAAAGAAAAAACGTTCCTGTAGTGTTTTATTTAGCATTTTGTAAATCCCATTGAGTTCTGTTGGTATAGTCAATATTCCGCTGCCACCGGAAACGGAAATGGGGCCTGTTTACACAGTTGTAGTCTTTTCGCTTCACTCTGTGTACTCCGACGTCGAGGTGCTAACGTCTCTGTTAAACACTTTAAAAAACTCTGAAAATGGAATACGAAAGGTGGATTCTTGATTCTCGACGTCGGAGTACACAGAGTGAAGCGAAAAGACTACAACTGTGTAAACAGGCCCCATTTCCGTTTCCGGTGGCGGAGGAATATTGACTATTCCAACAGAACTCAATGGGATTTACAAAATGCTAAATAAAACACTACAGGAACGTTTTTTCTTCACGAAACTTTTTTTGGAACGTCATTGAACAGCGCTGAGTAGCATATTTTAAAAAAAAGAACGTTTAAGGTTGTTTTAAGGACATTATCGGACATGCACTATGGAAGCCGTTCTAAAGCAGCCAGGGGTGGATTCTAAATGAGCCAAAAAGCAGAGACAGGAGCAATTGTCAAAATTTTGGTGTCGATCATTCGATTTCATCCTGGACACTACAGAAAATGGGCTAAAAGTGTTAAAAACCGGAATTCTCCTTTAAAACAAGCTGCACAGCCATGTTCCCCGCCTCATCCATCCCTGCCATGCAGCACGGATGCCTTTCATGCTAATAACCTCTTTAGCCTAACCATTGAAATGTCCTTTTTATATCTGATCATCTGCATTAATCGCTTTTTTTGGGGCTATAACCTTCAAAATGATGAGAAATGCAGAAAATGTTACTATATCTGTATATTTTAGGCCAGTTTCAATTTCTAAAACAAACAGAGAAAAAAAAAACACTTTTCATCTCAATCTTAGTGCCTGTATACTGTAACAAGACATGATAGCATGTAGCAGCATGTAGCCCCAGCTAAGAGCCAATAACGGCCTACAGCATTGCCCTCTGAAGCTACTGCATCTGCTGCAGACTGTTGCTGTAGGCCTGCTTTTAGGCCCCGTCCACACAAAGTCAAAGCGAACACGAAACGCTAATATTTTCCAGAACGTTTGTCGTAAAGACGGAGACGTAAAATAAATGTGAGCGTCTACACGAATGCATGAAAACGCTGCAAAATGTATGCCAGGCCTGTAAGTGGCGCTGTGGTGCCAAAGCAAAAATAGGCGACGAAATGTTGGGCATGCGCACTAATATTTATTCATGGTTGCCCTGCGGGTCCATTTTCGTGGTTCAGTCAAATTCAGGTGCTGAACTATGTGGTCGATATTGCTCTGTTCTTCCTGGAGATATTCCAGAAGAAGAAGATTCTGTTGTAAGCCCGACAGCAGGGTGAGTAGCATGAGCAGCAACCATTCAACACAGTACAGCGCCATTGTTGCTGCGGTAATGACTTCGACCTCCGACCAAAAGAGCCGCCATGTCCAGAAAAGCAAAGACCAGCAAACAGAGAGATGAGCCAAAGGGTGAAGCTCTGGATTTGCAGGTCGCTCTACTTTCCTACCCGTAATCCCCCCCCCCCCCCCCCCCCCCCCCCCCCCCAGAAGGCTCCTTTTGGAAGTTGATCAAGGCGGGACACACCGGAGGGACCATGTTAGGAACACCTCAGAGGAACCAGAGGATGGAGAGGGAAGTTTGGGCCTCTCAGCTAAGAGGGCCGTCACAATGTCCTTCAAAATAAGAGATACCCACAGGTGGTAGAACTAAGCCTAACCATGTTCTTAACATGAAATGGAGTCTTGGTTTTAAGTATTTCACTACACACATATAGCCTGGCTGTATGAAAGTTACATCAACTTATGTAGATTATACATAAAAGCTTTGACAGTCTTGAAACTTTGCAAAATCGTGGCCAGGAAGGTGCCTTACTTGTTTGAAAAACTGGATGTGAATATCTTAAAGTTTATAACATTTAGAGAACTATGAACATTCCTAAAAGGACATGTATGCTGGTCAAGTTTCCCAGTCATCCAGGTCACAGTCCTTCAAAAAAAGTTAAAAAACAATCCCCTGGATTGTTTCCAAGATTTTAAAAAGTTTTGCTTCCCATCTAGGAAATTTTTTTCAATTCAAAATGTAAAAGCAGCGAACTCTGCTCTCCAGAGCCAGTAGATTGGTAACCCCACCTCCTGCTCTCCTCTATCTTGTCTGCTGTCATGATTCATGCAGCTATTATTTCATCCAAATGAGAAATGGAGAACAGAGAAGCAGATCATGGCTTGTCTACAGTGAAAAGAAGGACTGGGTTATTTACTTTGGCCTTTTTGGAAACACAGGAAGGAGCAATCAGCTAAGTGAGCTTAGTGCTTGGAAAACAACTTTCATTCCTTTAGAGACAGCATGAAAAGTCAGCTGAGTACAAAACATAGAGAGGAAAACAAGAAGAAGAGAGGGACAAAACCTAGAACAGATAATGGATGTCTATTCTATTAACATTTCTCTATCTGTATAATGGGTCTGTTAAAGCCGGGCATACGCTGTACAACGTTCTGCACTTTTTGGGCTGACTTTCAGCCTGATGGTGTACCAAGTAGTGTACAGGGGGTAACGAGGGGCGATCAGCCTCTAACGACCACCTCCCGATCAGGAATCATAAGGTCAAGAGAAAATCAAAAATTTTTGAATTCAGTCGGCCATCGTAAGGTTGTAGTGGGCACATCGCTCAGTGCGTAAACAAGGATTCTTCTTCTTCTTCTTCCTCTCGGACGAAAACACAGAAGCATGGCGGGGGTTTAATGAGTGAAATTGAGTTCTTTCTGTAAAATGGACAGAACGTAGTAGCCATGTTTGCTCAGCCATGTCTTTATCCTAGTAGGTTGTTGCCTTTTCTTTTTAGGGCTTTTGCACAAAATTGCACAAATAGCCAAGGCAGCGTGTTTCACTCTAGTGAGCATCATATTCCTCTTCTACTGGTTTGGCTTCCGGATAGACGAGTCAGAGTAGCGCCATCTCACTGCTGAGCTGAGTCTCACGTGGTTTTTAGACGTACAGTGTGAGCAGGTAGATCACATCAGAGCGTCGGGTGAGAACAAACATCGTGAGCTGGGAACTTTTAAACCCCGCGGTCTATGTCGTATAGTGTGAGCTGTAGCTGCGTGCAACGATTGAAAACATTGCACAGTGTGTGCCCGGCTTTATGTGTTGTCTTCTCAATTCAGAGGGCCCCCTGCCTGTCTTTGCCCAGGGCCCCAAATTTCCTAAATCCACCCCTGATGACAGACCAATATGTAAGGATGATCACTGCCATTCAAACAAATATCAATAAAAAAAAGAGAGCAGCAATCCCCTGACGAGGCTGAACTGACACACAAAGTAACACAACAACTCACAGATGGCAGAACAATATATTAAGACATTTTTACTTGAAAAAAAAAAAATATATATATATATATATATGATAAGAAAAAATGACAGCTAGGTCCATTTTCACTGTTTATTTTTGGATTTTTTTATTATCTATTAACAAGGCAGAATGCTAAAGGCCTTTAAACAATAATCAAAGAGGATCTGAGCTCACCAGCTGACAAATAATTAAGAGTTGATGTGGCAGCTAGCATGTAGCATTAGCTTGTGCTAGCAATGCCTCCCTGACCTGCTGCCTTTATAACGTCTCTGTTATTTCAGTGAGTAGGACAGACACACACTTGCCCTGTCCAACAGCAGGAGATAAAGCGGAGTTACCTTCGGTGAGGAGCTGGATTCAAACACGGAATGAGTCTTTCTGGAGCTAATGCTGCCTTCCTCAGCAAGCTAAAGCGGCTAGCAGGATAAGAGGGGAAGCTAAGAGTCCAAAGTTCAGTTCCCAGGCAGAAACAGAGCAGCCACGATGTTCAGACATTCCACTGTGGGACAGCCGGTTCTCTCCCATCAGTGCATCACCAACAGATCCCTTCAAAAAGAGTCCAAAGATGAGCAAATGGGAGTACTTCCTGTAGCTGTCAGGCCGGTTTTGGTAAACACACTGACGTGGAAATGCTGTGCAGCGTCACCTAACATGACGCTCGACGTTTGATTGACATCTTCAGCAAACTGGACTCACCGATGTAAAATATTTCGCCTTGCCTTAAGAAATAAAGAATTATGACCATCTGTAATATCTGTATTATTTTTTTTTTGTAATGATAAGTAGATGTGCTCGTATTTGATTTTGTTTTTTGTAGAATGTCATATTGGTGGGGCGGGACAAAGCGAGCAGAGAGCAGCAAAGGTAGGTTGATCCTACGTACTGCTGACAGGTCTACCTGCATTTCACTGAGGCTGCAATCTGTTTATAATCCTGTTTAAACCCTTTGGAATCACATTTATTAGTTTATTGCTTAGATTGAATTATCTGTGTTTGTATTTTCTGTAAGTTTTTGTTTTTTTTCCATATGCTACTCTCTCTATCCTATCTAGGATATATAAATAAATAGAATCATAACACTTATTTAAAAACTTTACTTTACCTGAAAAGAAAAAAAAAATTCTCCTGTAGCCACTTTTTCACTGAATTATCCACTGCTTATCTGCTTATATCTAGTTCCCTACAATTAGGGCTGAGTATTGGCACAGGTGTTGCCATACAGTTCAATTCAGTTTATTTCTATAGCACCAATTCACAACACATCATCAACAGTTGATTGCATCAACTCATTGACTTGAAGGTAATCCCTCACACTAAGCATGCTTTTAGCGACAGTGGAGAGGAAAAACTCCCTTTTAACAGGAAGGAATCTCAAGCAGAACCAGGCTCAGTGTGAGCGGCCATCTGCTGAGGCCGACTGGGGTTCAAGGAGACAGAAGCAGAGATAGAAAAAGAAGCAGAGATACAAAAGGAACTTGTGAACCAGCTCCACAGGCGGCCCCATCCAGGAAACACACAGCCAGGCAGACGAGCTCCGAGCCAGCTCCCACGTCAGAGGATGAAAGAGGTACATCCAGTTAGTCAGTCAGAAAAGCAGGACTACACTGAAAAACAGGTCGATCTCCAACATCTATAAACAAAGGTGCTGATGGCAGCAGCACAGCTGAGAGAGCAGAATGTTAGAGATTGAATTAACAGATTCTACAGAATGGGAGAATAGAGATAGAATGAAGCAGAATGATGAAATAGGGGTCCCTATGTCCTCCAGCAGTCTAAGCCTATAGCAGCATAACTATAGAGATAGCTCAGGATAACCTGAGCCACTCTAACTATAAGCTTTATCAAAAAGGAAAGTTTTAAGCCTAGCCTTAAAAGTAGACAGGGTGTCTGCCTCACGGACTAAAACTGGTAGTTGGTTCCACAGGAGAGGAGCCTGATAACTAAAAGATCTGCCTCCCATTCTACTTTTAGAAATTCTAGGAACCACTAGTAAACCTGCAGATTGAGAGCGAAGTGCTCTGTTAGGAACATAAGGAACAATCAGATCTCTGATATCAGATGGAGCTTGGCCATTTAAGGCTTTATATGTGAGAAGGAGGATTTTAAATTCTATTCTGGATTTAACAGGAAGCCAATGAAGGGAACCCAGGATAGGAGAGATATGATCTCTCTTAATTTTCATCAGAACTCTGGCTGCAGCATTTTGGATCAGCTGAAGGCTTTTAACCACAGTTTGTGGACTTCCTGACAGTGAAGAATTACAATAGTCCAGCCTTGAAGTAACAAATGCATGGAATAGTTTCTCAGCATCACCCCTGGACAGGAGATTTCTAATTTTTTTGTAATAGAAACCTCTTTGATATGGGATTTACATGACAGGTCCTGATCAAAAATAACATCAAGATTTTTTACTTTATTACTTTATTATATAGTGACTGACTAAGCAGCTTCTTTTTCAAGATTCCAAAGACTATAACTTCTATTCTGTCTGCATTCAGAAGCATAAAGTTAAGAGTCAGACAGGTTTTTATGTCTTCAAGGCATGTGTAATCTATGTACCACCAGCACCAACATGACCCTGATGGCTGCATGGATAGATGGATGGATGGATTTTGTTCATAGGAAATATCAAATTCTTTTAAAAGTTTCTTAACTATATCTTTTGGCTAAAACAGCCATCATCTTTCAAGCTAAACTGAAGACTGTACAGTGAGGAAAATAAGTATTTAAGCACCCTGCTATTTTGCAAGTTCTCCCACTTAAACATCAGATGTCTGAAATTGACTGGAGGGGTCTGAAATTGTAGTAGAGGCATTTTCACTGTGAGAGACATAATCTAAAGAAATAACAATCCTGAAATATAGATATACTGGTTTTTTTTTTTTACTATTTATTTGTATGACAAAGCTGCAAATAAGTATTTGAACACCTATCAGCTAGAATTCTGACCCTGAAAGACCTGTTAGTCTGCCCTCAAAATGTCAACCTCCACTCAATTTTTATATCCTAAATTAGATGCTTTGAGGTGGTTAGCCGCATAGAGACACCTGTCTAAGTACTAACATGGCCAAGACCAAAGAGCTGTCCAAAAACACTAGAGGCTTAATTGTAGACACCCACAAGGCTTGAACGGGCTACGGGGAAATTACCAAGCAGCTTGGTGATAAAAGATCCACTGTTGGAGCAATGATTAGGAAATGGAAGAAGCTGAACATGACTGTCAATCTCCCACGGCATGGGGCTCCATGCAAGATCCCACCTGGCAGGGTCTCAATGATCCTAAGAAAGTTGCAAAACCAGCCCAGAAATTGGGGAGGAGCTGGTCAATGATCTGAAAACAGGAGTGGGCCAAAATCCCTCCTGCAGTGTGTCCAAACCTGGTAAAGAAAACTACACAAAATGATTGACCTCTGGAGTTGCAAACAAGGCTAACTGGCTAATTCTGTTTTACCTTCTCTCTCCTCTGTGTCGCTGAGCAGTGCTGCAGAGTGCAAAAGCTTAGTTTATTCCCCTTCACAGGTTGATGATTTTGTTGATGGGGTTGCTACTTATCTGCGTACTGCCTTAGACAATGCAGCTCCTTTAAAAAAGAAAACCATTAAAAATAGAAAGCTTGCTCCTTGGTTTAATGCAGAGCTGCGCATTTTGAAGCAAAATGCTTGGAAACTGGAGAGAAAATATCGCTCAGCAGGCCTACGGGAATCCTACCTAGTCTGGAAAAATAGTTTACTGCTGTATAAGAGGACCCTTTATGAAGCAAGAGCAGCATATTTCTCCTCATTAATAGAGAAGATGAATAATCCTAGATTTCTTTTTAATCCAGTTGCCAAACTCACCCAGAGCCATAGCTTAGTTGAACCATCCATTCCACCAGCTCTTAGCAGTAATGATTTAATGGGATTCTTTATAAATAAGATTGAGCTCATTAAGACATCATTAGCACTCCTCTAACTACGATTGGTTTATCTCTGGAAGGTGAGGCAGCATCTGAGGTAGCCATAGAACCTGAACTAATGAACAATGTCCAACTCCGTCAATTGGCAAAGGTCAGTGACTTTGCTCCAAGTCGTATTCAGCTCAACATCCAGTCACTGACCTGTATTCTCCTATCCCTGCAGAGATCCGCCCCGCAGCAGACGAGTAGCCCCGCGCACCTGTTTGTTAAATAAACACTTTGAACTTTCCCACTGCCTGTCTCGCCTTGAATTCTGGGTCCAACTTCCTAAGATCATTACAGTTTCGCCCTAAAACTGTTTTGAAAGCCACATGATCTGAATAATCCTTTTGAGTCAACACATAATTGTCTGCCAACACTGCAGCCTCAGACACATTCCTAGCTTTCTGCTCATTAACGTAAGTTGCGATTTTTTTCGGTAGGCCACTTTTAAATTCCACCAACAAAATCAGATCACGCAGCTGACAAAGTCCTTAACATTTTGTTAAGCGCACTAACGATCAAAAAATGCAGTTTTAACACAACCAAATTCGGTATAGCTTTGATGGTCTGCCTTTTTACAGTGGCGGGACTTTAGTCTATAGGCCTCAGGCACAACCTCATAGGCTTTTTCTACTGCTCTCTTCACATTATCATAATCTAAACTGTCACTGGGTGACAGCGAAGCATAGGCTTCCTGTGCTTTCCCAGTAAATACACACTATAAAAGCAAAGGCCAAACATCCCGAGGCCACTTCAGTGTTTTTGCCACATGCTCTAACAAAATGAAATAAGTATCTACATCCAACTCTGAAAATGGTGGAATCAAACGAATACATTTGATTACATCAAATACTGCCTCCGCAGATCTGCTTTCCTGATCAACAGAAACGTGCGCCAAGTTGCGTTTCGCAGCCGCCTCCAGCTCCAATTTGCGCATCTCAACTTGATGCTGCAGCTCTAAACGACGCAACTCCAACTCCATTTTACGTACCTCATTATGAGGCACCCAAACTTCACCTTGAGTGGTTGGTTGAGGAGTTTGCACAACGTTTTCTCAACCAATGCTACATACACTTGCCTTTTAATAACCTTTTTTTTTTCTTGTTTAACCACAGCTTTTCAAACTGAGAGGCAATGGTTCTGAGATTGTTTTTAGTAGCAGCACTTAACTTGTCCAGAGAAGGTTCAGCTACAAAGTCTTCCATATCAAACTCCATTTCTACGCAAAACTGAAAATACACGCCTCGGATAGAAAAAATAAAAAACAAAACCTCAAACAGCAAATACAGTGTGAAGTGAAAGTAAATTGAAACTATTGTATCACTGGCCCAAAGTAACCATATCTCCACTATTCTTTGCCTCCCTGCTACTACTCACCTACCTAATCCCTGGCTCTCCACGTGGCTCGGCGGTGGGATTATTAAGCACTATACCAGCAAGAAATGAATCTTCTGGATTGCCCCAGAGATCACTGCTCGCAAAGTGAACGACAACCGCAAACCCCCAAGGCACTAACAAAAACAACAAACAGGTGCAGTCTAAAATGGTAGCACCTCTAACAGGAAACGCATGACTTAAAAAAATAAAAATAAATGAAAAATATAAAAAAAAGCATTGATGCAAATGCCCCCCAGAAAAAAAAACTTCACTCACCTGTATATTGGGTCACCAAATCGACAACCTCTATACAGTAGAAATT